TGAGGATGCACAGTGTATGACCTTTCCACACCGTTATATTCTCTTAGAGCAATCTAGTTGAAGCTACACACACATTTCAACACACTGGCAATGTCCAGGCTCATGCATGGTGTCACTGGGTAGATTCTACTTGCAATAAGTAACATGAACTGTATATGGTGATGATTTATTGGCTCTGCTACATGTTTGTATGTACAAGAATTTCCACCCTGTCTGTATCATCTAATTCTTGAAAATTTACTGATACCCAGATCTCAGTCCGAATGCAATTTCACTATTCACTTCATGCTGATTATATCCTTGTGATGATAAATGTACATCATCCAATATATACACCAAATAATGATATGAAATCACTCCCTCTGCAACTCCAAGAGAAGCCCGGAAGGTAGAATAATCTAACCTGGCTCTCAGACACGAAACAACTCTGATGAAATCCGTTGAAGCAATGCACAATATAGAACCAGTTTGCTTTGTAGGGATTTTGTGGATTATTCATTTTAAGATGTTATGCTTGTGAAGAGTATATTGTGATATCCATTTGTTGCATTTAATTGTGATGTACAAGTGTATGGGCTTATTGTATGTTATTTTACTTTTATTGATTGATTTTTTTGTTGTTGTTGTTGTTGTTTCTATAGAACTAAGTAATTTGGTACTAGGAAAATGATGCCAGTTGGTTTTGGTATATGGTGGGTCTTGTATGAGGTCGTTTAGGGGAGGGAGTTTATGAAATATTTTAGATAGAAAGTTATTATATTTAAGGCACAGAGGTTTACTAAGAGGAAGTGAATGATCTTTTTCTTACCATTGCATAATGGTCGTAAAATTTATGTTTTTATGTAGATAATAGCCATACTTTGATAAAAGTTTAGATTAGATATTTATGGATGTTGTTCTATTTAAGAGTGATTTAAATATTCATATGTGATAATATAATATTTGCATTAGCTTTTTTTTTACAACTTTTTTTTCTATCCCAGATGCAGTTTATGCTATTATTCAGCCGTCAAGGCAAGCTGCGCCTTCAGAAATGGTACGAGGCTCACCCAGACAAAGTGAAGAAGAAGATAACGAGAGAACTCATCTCTACCATCCTTGCCAGAAAACCTAAGATGTCCTCGTTTTTGGAGTGGAAGGACCTGAAAATTGTATATAAGAGGTGAGTAGTATAGAGACATTTCTGTTTCCTCTAGGATATTGTTATACCTTCTCTCCTTTTTGGTCTTTTCTTCCTTCCATCTCCCTCCTGCCTATCCAGCTCCTTCCTCTGCTATCCTTCTCCTTTCTCACCTGCCTGTTCTCTCCTTTCTCCTGCCTGTTCTCTTCCTTCCTCCTGCCTGTTCTCTTCCTCCTGCCTCTCTTCCTTCTCCTGCTGTTCTCTTCCTCCTCTGCTGTTCTCTTCCTTCCTTCTGCTGTTCTCTCTTCTCCTGCCTGTTCTCTTCCTTCCTCCTGCCTGTTCTTCTCCTTTCTCCTGCCTGTTCTTCTCCTTCCTCCTGCCTATTCTTCTCCTTCCTCTGCTGTTCTCTTCCTTCCTCCTGCCTATTCTTCTTTCCTCCTGCCTTTCTCCTTCCTCCTGCCTATGCCGCTCATTCCTCTTGCTCCCTCTTTCTCCTGCATACCCGTCCTCTCTCTCCTGCATACCCTCCATCTCCTCTCCTCCCTCATTACTTCTTTCTGTCTCACCCTTCCCACCTACCCCCCTACTTTCTTCCCCCCCCTTAAGTTCAGAAATTTATTTTGGTTATCTTTAAGCTTAGATGTAAGGGTCCCTACAATTGTATTTTATGATTTTAAGTTGGATATTTTAGAAGGTTAGAGGATGACATGGTTTAATGTGTTAACATATTCCTTAATTTGTTTATTATGGTAATGATTATGACCAGTTCTTTTCTTGTGGCCATGAAACTGTCTCTTGTTTCCAGATATGCATCATTATACTTTTGTTGTGCCATAGAGCAGGAAGACAATGAACTCTTGACACTAGAGATAATTCATCGCTATGTCGAACTCCTTGACAAGTACTTCGGAAGTGTGAGTTTTTTTGCCCAAGGATCCTTTTATTATTTTTATGGTTGAGTAATATATATTTTAAAAATCTTTTGCAAAAAAATAACATTAATACTTATTGATGAGTTCAATCCTTGATCACTTTTAAAGATAATAGACAAAGAGAAAAAAATGATTTTGACAGGTGTGCGAACTCGACATCATCTTCAACTTTGAGAAGGCGTACTTCATGTTAGATGAACTGATGGTGGGAGGTGAAGTTTGTGAGACCAGTAAGAAAAATGTTCTCAAGGCAATTGCGGCTCAGGACCTTCTGCAGGAGGTTAGTTATGGCGAAACAGCATACGAGTTGTGACTGCAAGGGTGTGCCAAGGTTTTTATTTTTTTTTTCTGTAAAAAGTTTATGATGTTTTTGTGCTAGAGGCAAAAACTCTCCTGTTGGTATCCTCTTATGAATATTGATATATGTATATTTGAAACCTATCAGAGACAGATATTTTTTACTCTCACCCTTTTTTTTCTAAATGAGATGCTATGTATTTTTTTATGTAATATAATTTAATATCACTGAATCCGTTCAGTTGGCCAAAAGTTAGACCAAGCGATTTAGACCTTAGCACCCTTGTAGCACAAAGGAAAACATGCATTCAAAGCCAGACATCCAAAGGTACTCTTTTGTCACAAGTGAAAAATAAGGCAGCTGAAATACTTCTAAGGTTTTCATAGTGGGACTTTTTTTCCTTGAAGTCACAATTTTCTTTAAGCTTGGTATATAAACCTTCCAAGGCAAAAGATATCTTTGGAATAGTTTATACACACGATATGTGTATTAGTATGGGGCAGATAGGTAAGGGGTTATGTTGTTAGTGAAAGGGCTTGTATTTCTCCATCAGAAAAGATGATTGGGGTTTTAGGATATATATATATATATGGAGAGATGTTATACCATAGATGCATGGTACCTTAAGCATCTTTTATATGGAGAAATGCAATATTGATTATAAATATATTTTCTGTTTATAAAGTATTTTATTATGTTATGTAGCAAAGACATATGTTGGAGGTTGCTTTGTATTGTATTAATATTTTAATCTTTATATGATACTAGCTAAGGCTAGCATGTTGATAATTTTATACTAGGTGTGAGTGCTTGATGAGGAAAATCAAAAGGTAAATAATGGTGCTTACAAGATAAATATATATATATATATATATATAGAATATCACCTGAAAGAATTTGTGCATGAATTGGTAATGGCAAAACCTTAACTACTGTGATGTAAATGTATTTTCCTCCAAAGTGGATGTGAGGTAATGAAAAGTAGAAATGGAATTAACATACATTTAACATTGTATGGTTAATTTCTAGGTTGAAGTGCATATAACCCTGTTTTTTTAAAAGTTGGAATTAATGATACATGGATATTACTTGAAGGCTACTAATAGCATCATTTTTCTGTTGGCATGTTAGTGTATTTTGTTTGAAACGTGTTCATTGTTTAGAGAATATGTTCTATATTTTGTGGAGTTATGTTGAGTCATGCCAGTCCTAATACAGTGCTTGTACTTAAAACTAGGTGTAATGGTTGTTATCTTATGAATGAACAGATCTACTTATACCTCGAAAAATTGATGAAATAGAAAATCCACTTGTACCTCATACGTATGTTCATTCTGGATTTTCGTTTCCTCATATATTTACTTACTGAGTCAAGCAAGTACTTATAAAAAAACCTCTTTGCTCAGTATTGCAGCTGATATTTATTGAAGATTTCTCAAAAATCTGCTCATTGCTAACACTAACTTTTGTGTGAGTATTATATACCCATTATTTATTTATTTATTTATTCATTCATAATTCGATCACTGATTTAAGAATTGATGAATAGCAATGCTATTTTCTAGATTTTACTTTTTATGTCTGTTGCATTTTGTACAGAACATGGTTTAGGTGCCTGAATGTTAAATGCTGATTGTGTATACTTCCAGATATTTTTATTAGACTTAAGATAAGGTAAAGAGTACAGAAACAAAAAAAGAGAAAGACTTGCATAAAAAAGAAAAAGAAAGACACAAGCTAACACCAGAGGCAGAGAAGGTCTACGCTAAATACACTGACAGACACGCATGATATTTATAATATATTTCAATTTATATGAATGCTTGATATGTGGAACATGCGAAAACATGTGTATTTATTGATAGATACAGATTGGGATTTTAGTATAACTATGATCATGATCACACTGCTTGAAAGGAAGTTGAATTACTAGTCTTTTTGGGGGAGAATGAAAACTTTATTCATAGAAAAATCAGATGCACTGATGGCAGAATGATTAAGTTTATGGTACTAGATATAGCTAGTGTGTACAATCAGTTTTTAGCATATGAGAGCATTTCACTATGTTGTAATTATTGTCAACTTAATTTTTTTTTTTTCTTTTAGTAATAGACTTCAACAGAGTTTGAGAATTGTTATTATTTATTTGTTTTTTCCTCACTGAATGGAATGATATAAGGATGCTTTATTAGTAATACACTTTAGGTAAATTCTTCATCTCCATTGAATGAAAATAAGTAATCTTTTCCTAATACAGTGTGATACATTGCATTTTGCTTTAGATAAGGTTCTCATAACTCAGGAAAATGAGATTTTGTCCCTAGCATGTCTTTTTTCTCTCTAATGGTATTTTGGAATACCTCAGCCCATAGTGTTAATTTTGATAGGAAACAGGCAAGTCAGTTACACTAGCTGGTGGTTAAGGTTTTGTGCATTTAACTGATCCTATTCTCCTCCTCTCCCCATTCTTTCCTTAATGTGAAATCCTTGGTGAAACATTTATGCATCACTGTAATTTTGATTTTACCGTCCTCTGAAACGAACAAGCACTCATACCTAAAGCTCCGCAGCAGCTGTATAGATTATTTATCTTTGGTCTCAGTTGAGTTGTGAATTATGTAGCACTGTTTTAGTTCATATTATTAATGAT